AATAATGTCTTTCACTTCAACTGATTGTACCATGTGTATCAATTTAAAGAGTTCATTGAAAAGAACAGACTTACTGCAACGTTGCAGCAATGTTGCTGCAAGTTTCTGCGCTGTATGGATCCGCATATGAAATAGAAAAAGGAACGCGTGGAGTTTCAGCAACGATGAGACCACGAAGAGGCTCGTGAATCGTTCACAGTTGATTTCGCGAATCGTATCGTCATTCGGGCGACGCGACGTGCGAGCAAGACTCACTTTCACATCGCTCGCTCGCCCATTCTCCTTCCTCACGCCTTCCAGCGAGAATGTATCTCACGTAAGCAAATGTCGCGCTCGCTCAATTCAACGACGACGACAATAATGATGATTGAGGATGACGACGATGACGATTGAATTTGTTCAGAATGGCATTTTTATCATCACTGATCACGCATTACATTTACACGCATATGTTTAAGTTTCGGATGCACGTTCTTTATACATCTATTTGTATACTTCTGTTTATTGTATGTTTTAAATCTCAAGGAATCGCTCCATTTCCGCGCCACGATAATCATTAGAAAGTCCTCGCAATCCGCACAGCAACTTGCAGCAACATTGCTGGAACAATTGCAATGACTGCGTTTAGTAGAAAGAGCAACTTTGCAACTGCTCTACTGTAAAATTCTTGAAGATGATTAGTTTGTACATTTAGATCCAGCAAAGAACTAAGAGCAAAATTAATATCCAAGGAACACAAGTCAAGTCAAGAGAAAGTTAAAATGATTTTATTTTGATGTCGTTAAAAATAAAAAAATGATGATATTTGATTACAATATTTGACCGCTTATAGATGTTAATAATCAAAATAAAATTATCCTGATTTTTTATTGACTTTTATGTATTCCTTGAGTATTAAAAAATTTACAATAGTTGCAAAGCTGTTTTTTTTTCTGTTGAACGCAATGTTGCTGCAATGTTACTGGAACGTTGCAATGTCGCTGTAATATTGCTAGAATAATCTATCGAGAAAACCTCCTTTCTTGCAGCGATCGTTTTCCATATGTCACGCACGGATTTCCTAGGATCAGGCGATTTCCCGTAAGTTAGATTCTCTACGTACCTCTCGAGTGACAGCGCCTGGCGAGCACGTCGCCTCGCGACCGCCTCCGCCGTTCTCCACCGCCTACAATATGGTTCACAGACTGGTTCGCGATAGGCACTCGCGCTGCTCGTCACCGCGCTCTCTCCTATCCATAATCGGCGAAAGTAGCGTTGGCTCGCAGTAAGACCGTGCGATTTTCCACGATTAATTTCCGTAAAATTATCAAAAATACTCAATGACACGATCGACGAACACTATTATCGGTAAAAGAATCGATAGAGTCCTATTCGAACGATCCTCGCATAAAACCAAGTTCTCTTCGCGACGGCCGCGGCTGTCGACTACTCGCGCGAGCGAGCGAGTGAAATGAATGTACGATCGAGGGGGGAGAAAGAGAGGAAATGCGCGGTCCGCGGGGTGCCTCGTTAAGTAAGGCGCGCGCCTTTATTCGGCCGTGCCCGCTCGCCCAAGAGCCTGCAAAGAGCCTCCTTCGACGGCGTATCGCCGTTCACTGCACTGCTCCACCGCTGGTGGACCGCCGCGCCGCAGCAGACCTTGCGCCTCGACATCACCGCGAGTGAGAGTCCACCCAGGACGTTCACCATGTTGGTGAACAGTCGGACGGCGCATGCGTGTACCACCCCCTTCGACTCGTTGCCTACCTTCACCGATGACGTCAAAAATAGGACAAGGAGCTGGTGGCCTTTGCTACAAGGCGCGCCGCGAAGGGAGTAGAGAGGCGGAGGAGGAGAGGAAGGGGAGGAGGAGGAGAGGAGGGCCACTGAACTGTCCCTCGATGTCTTCTGTCTCGATCTCACCTCTCTATCTCTCGGTTTCTCTCTTCCTCCCGCCGTCCTCATCATTGGCGGCGGTCACTCGGCAGGACCGAAGGCGGCTAACTGGCGGTTTAGCGATGAGGGAGGAAAAAGATACGCTTGAATTGTAGGAAGGATTGTAGGTGCGGAACAGGCGATTGAAGCGAAGGAATATACTTCATATAAATTGAATAATTTATTAAATTAATTTTTTTACTTAAAAAAAAATAAAATTAAAGTTAAATTTAATGAAATATAACAATTCATGTAAATTTAAAATAATTAGTTAAATGTATTTTTTTGCCTAAAAAAGTAAATTTAAATTGAAGTAAATTTAATATGGCGTATTTTAAATGTATATAAATTATTTCTTTCAAGAGCATTTTGTAGAAATTATATTTGGACAAGATCCAGCTGTATTATCTATTCACACATGTGATCTCAGATGGCGAACTCGATATTCTACGAAAAGGATGGAGGGAACTAACGAGTGATGCTGGTCCCCACGAACTCGCGATTCGTTTCTTCTCTATTCTCCAGCCTTTTCTCTCTTCTCACTAGCGAATGGAGGGGGCTATGGGAGCCATAACTCTCCTCTCATTGAAGTTTCCTTTTTTAAGAATATTTATAGCAAAATTGTACAATACTTTTAATAATTCTAAAAATTCTTGCTTAATCATAAATTTGATATTCCAAAAATATTTTTTAATTTAAGAAACTCCTAGATAAAAACATAGATTCTATTATATTATTTTTTTATGTTAATATAATTTTAAATAAAACAAGTAAATTAATAATATAAATAAAACAAATTTTAATTAAAATATATTTTAAATAAAACAAATTCTAGCTATGAATTATACATTTAAATGATATTGTTTCAGTATAATCAATTTAATATAATAATAATTTAAATAATAATTTAATATTTTATTTTTTCATATTTGACCTTAAAAAAATTTGCGACGCGCCAATGGCCCCTTTTGATAAATTTTTGAATTGCCTATGGTCTCTTTTCGCAGAAGGCCTCATCAGCTGTTCTTTACCTCATTGTCTTACCACCTCGCGTCACGTACGTGCATGCTTGCATGTACACGTACGCGTCGTTCGTCCGCATTACAAATTTTTGGTACCGCCCTGTTTTGGTGCGTATCCACGGAGGCAATAGATAAATATAATTTTGGAATCAAGGTAGCGATCATGTAAGCCCAATTTTTACAATTGTGTAAACGTAGTTGTAAATGATTGTAGTTGTAAGAACTGACTAATAGTTGAGGAAAATATTTAACTTGGTAATGGCCAATTCTTAATTCTAAACAATAATCCTATACAAACATATAATATTCTTAAAATATTATATAAATATTATTTATCCTTTATAACATTCATGTAACATTCTAAGAATATTATATCTTAGAGAAAAATTATTTAAATTAGAACCATGATATAAAAAAAAACTTAAGCAGTAAGACACAAACTATTCACTTGATGCTACAAATGTTTCGAAGCATCTTTTGACTGGTCAATCAAATTAGTAAAATTCTTTCTTTCGATTGATCAATCAAAAGTTTCGAAGCATTTGTAGCGACAAGTGGATCACATTCGTAAATAATATAAGGAAATCAACATGTTGGATTGATTACTATTTACATTATGGTCTCTGTGATTGGCCCATTCACTTACTTTACGTTACGTTTTTTTGAATGCCATAGCCCTAGCACAACTATGCTTACGCAATTGTTAAACGAGCGTAACTTTTCCTACAGCACGAAATATATATTGCAATATTTTAATAGTGGGTCATAGTATAAAAATTGCAACAATATTGCTGCTATATTAAAATTTTAATATTTTATTGGAAATATTGCAACAATATTGTGAACTATTATAATTTTAATGACTGTATTCAGTAGAAAAAACAGCTTAATTGCAAATTGTTGTACTCTTTAATATGATTGATTTATAGTTACACATTTATAGTTATACACTTAGTAAGGAACATTCAAGTAAGGAACTAAAGATAAGATCCAATCATGTCAAAGAATTTTAAACAATTGCAAAGTATATTTTAGATTGTGCTAATCAGTACAATATTTGAGCAATAAAACTAGATTAATTATTGAAATATTGTAACAATATTTCTCTAAACATTGCAATAATTTTGCAGTTGTATTTTATTTTAACAGACATTAAAAATATTCCCCTAGAGGAAAAACGTGAAAAGTGAAATTTTTTATTATCGAAGTTAATGGAGAAAACTTTTCATATTTCTTTCAGGGGAAAAGTTATATGATCAGTACCCTGATTAGAGAGCGAAGTCGTGACAGGCGTCTCATCAAGGCGAACATGCAGAATTACTCTCGTTCTCTTTAGTCTCTTTAAATCTATTTTTTCTGGCTAAACTAACTGGTGTACACTTGTACTTAAAATGAAATAAGTATGTATTTTTAAGTTTGGCGAAAGCGAGATAGAAAGTTTTAATGCAATATATTGCAGCGACAAACAACAGGCATTGTATTGAACAATTTCCATGTCTCGGAAATGCAAGGGACAACGTATGGCGTTCGTGTCTCATCGATTAAGAACAAGCGCCTACTTTTGCTACTTCGTCAAGTGGAATATCCGGTGGTATCGGATGAATATTAATTAAAAATTCTATGTTCTTAGTCCGCGCGTAGCTTTTAGATTTTATCATTCCGTTCAAATCGGGATAAATATAAAAAGAATTTTTAATTGATATTTAATTGATTTATTATGCATATAGAAAGTATTAATTAAATATAAAATCAATCTCAAGAATCCGAAAAATTCTTGGCTTAGCAGAATTTCTGTTATTTTTTTCTAATTCGTATGTACTGTGTAAGGCCATTAAGTTAATGAAAGATTATTTTAAATTATTTTTGTTCATTTGTGGATTTTTAATGAATTTCTAACAACTTCTAAATTAATATTTAATGAATCACAAAAAGGTAGAGGACTATTCTATCCAGTTTAACTGAAAAAGTATTATATTTATTATTGAACAAGCTATATGTGTACATATACATCGCGTGTGTATATAACGTAATTCATAGTGGCAGTATTAATAAAAAAAAAGTAAATTGAGGTCTTCGAATTTTATTAAAGCATATGTAAATACAAACAAAATCAAGCTACAAGAGCACTAGCTGTTGAACTTTCGTATTTCCAGTTTGGCGGCAGAGATCCTTTCGCCTTATAGTAACGCGCCAACCTGTGAATTCTCGATTCGACGAGAATTAAACGGAATTTTGAATCTTTATCTTTGCGATTTCGCTCCAAGTGTTTACGCACAGCGACGGCCTTTTTGATCAGGTAATAGAGATCCTCTGGTAGATCGGGAGCCAGACCCATGCTCTTTACAATGCGTAGAATCTTATTTCCTGTACGGAATCGTACTTGTGCTACTCCATGTGAGTCACGAAGTATGACACCTATAAAAATACAAAATATGTTGTATGTTGTCTTATATACGTTTTTTTTGTCATTTTAATAATTATCAAACTTGTTATTTTACAAAAGTATCAGTGATGACCTATTGTGAAGTGACAAATGATCAAATTCACATCAAACATCACTTATAATCTTGCAAACATATTTGAGAGAATCAAATTAAAAACTCTAAGATCCCCTGCATAGAGTTTGCTTTCAAATATATTGATTCTTTTAAATTAACAGCTAATAAAGTTTTTATTAGTCGAAATAAATAAATGTATATCAAAATTACCAATTTGAGATGGTGTATGTCCTTTTTTTGCTAGCTTGTAGATAAGTTCTTTGCAATCTTCTGGTGTTAGTTTCAACCAAGTTGGTACACTTCGTCGGTAAGGAAGTGCCGACTGAGATATACCTTTTCTAAAAAATATAATATGCCATCATATAATATTTAGAAAGTAATTTTTCAGAAGTATTGCATGAAAATACTAAAACTATATATTGTATAAAAAAAAATGAATAACGATAATAAAAAGTTAAAAGTTAAATAATGATCAGTTATTGATATAAAAAAATAAGTTGTTTATTATTAAACATGTTTCTACTATACTAAAGATTAACAAAAAAATTAACATTGTCAGTAACTTGATTAAATACTCGTGCTTGACAAATGTTTCACTGACATTGCAGTTACAGGAAAAATAACGCCATAATAAAATCGCGATCACACCATGCATACATGTGATAGGTTATGTATTCTCGTAAAAGCAGTGTATTTATAAAAATACATGGCATATAAAAAAGCCGAATAATTAGATCGCTCAACAACTGTAAATTATAAATTATAAAGCTGACAGAATTGATCGTTCGAAAAGAACGGAGTCACAAACACATGGTCACTGGATGTGCACACAGACAGAACATCTCGATGCTTATGGTATAAGATATATTCGTCGACGACAAAGATCTTGATAAATCGCGAGCATCGCAGCGAACAGAAAATTAAAGAGATTACATCGATGATAAATATTGTTATGATAAATATTGTTATGTTACCCATGTGAGTGCATACGACCCATCTTGTCAGGATTTTTTTAACAACGTCCTCCACGAAAGGAAAAATGAAAGAGGACGGCGAGAGAAGATGGCGCCCTCCTTCAGTTAACAAAAAGCCGAAAACACAATGGGCGCATTTAAGTCGATAAAGCGGCTAGATCTGCTCGCCGAGCTATTAAACATGATTAGTTGGATCCATAGATAAGAACCAATCATGCTTATTCACTCAGCAAGCATGCCTAGCTTTATCGTCTTGAACTCGCTCAGTGACTACGTTCAGTAAACTTAACAGTTGAATGAGCGCTCGCTGCTATTGTATTCTTCCAGATCTAATTGGATAATCTTAAAGAATACAATGGGTGCGATCCACTTTACGCTGCAAACGCTTTGAAGCATTCTTTGATTGGTCAATTCGTAAAATTCTTTTTTCTAATTGGTTAACGAAGTATTTGCAGCGTTAAGTGAATCAATAGATGTATTCGTATTTTATAGCTATAGTCTTTAGGATTGCCGTACACAAAATTCTGCAACAGTGGCCTAGTTTCCACTAAGGGTTTAATCCGAATTAGAATAGCTACGTTCAGCAAAGAAAGTAGCTTTGCAACTGTTGTAAAATTTTCTAATATAATTGGTTTATACATTTAGATTCAATGAGGAACTAAGGACAAAACCAATTATATTAAAGAAATTTACAACAGTTGCAAAATTGTTTTTTCTGCTGAATGTAGCCAATGGACCAACTAATTACAATCGAGTATTCCCTTATTACAGTCGAATGACAGAGGAATGCTCAACTGTAATTGGTTAGTACTTACATTCTGATTAAACCCTCGATGTTAACTAGAATCCCTAGATTACCAGAGTCTGGCTTTTCTCTTGTGATTGGCGTGCTCATTGGCAATACCATCGATATCAATCGAGAACACTTACATTCATATCACTAATTGAAAGCAAACTCGGACTCGCACGTCATTTTTCAGGGCATGATCAAGGGCTCGATTGTGTATTTTGAAATAAGGTGAAAATTACAAAAGTGAGCAATGATTACTAGATATTGACAATTAAATTATGAACATTCTAGATGAATTTTTCACTTGTAATTTTCACCTCATTTCAACATACACAATCGACTTCCAATCTCTGATACCTAAGGTCTCTAGTATGCCGTAATCTGTAAAAATTAACGAATCAGTATGGCGTCCCGGAAGGAAGAATTTGCGAAAGGAGACAAATTACAGAAATGACGAATTACAGCGATTATCGTATAACTATCACAACAGGTTTATTTTAATTCGATGTACAATGGTTTTTAACTAAGATAAGTATATATTAATACGATATAAGTTAATATCATTTTTCTTTCAGCGACACATTTACAAGGAGAGTATGTTACTAATGGCTTTCTCCTTATTGCTTTTCTATTATTGGCGGACTTGCGCAATGCGTTTATGCGTCGCTTGTTTGGAATCGATGCAATATTGCGATTGGTTGAATTGACTGGACGCATTGTGTTAGTGGCGCACTTGCATTTGGACAAGCGGTTGCCATCACAATCATCTTTGAGTATTCTCTTCTTCTCGTCGAATGAGAGTGGAATACTGATTAGTTCAATACTGAGATTAGATCAATTCTTACAGATTACGGCATACGGTTACAGCCAATATAAACGCTTCTTTACGGAGCGGATTCGTGAGCGCTCGCTACTATTAGATGATCTAGAAGAATACACGGCTGCGTTCATTCACTAAGCGCTCAGCAATTGTAATACCGAATACATTTGCTGCGTTCAGTAGAAAAAGTATCTTTGCAACTATTGTAAAATTCTTGAATACAGAGTACGGTCAACGCGATGCTACAAAAGTTTTTTAATTGATTAGTTAGATTTAGATAGTTAGATTTGTAAAATTCTTTCTTCTAATTGGTCCATCAAACGTTTCAAAGCATTTGTAATAAAACTTTGACCACAGCTTTTATAACAGTTGCAAATCTGTTTTTTCTGCTGAACGTAGTCGCATTGATGTATTCTTTTAGATCATTCAACCAGCATTTTTTTAGATCTGGAAGAATATATCAATAGCAGCGAGCCGATTCGCTTCGCAACAATTAGTCCGGATCTACAATAGATGATTTAAGCCTTAAGCCGTAAGAAATTGATCAATTAGAATATATCACATAAACTTGAATAGCCGCATAAACGTATGCATAAAGAAAATTATCCAATTTCGTATTTCTTTTATAAAAATGCACGTGATTGGATAATTTTCGTTTGTGTGGATATATCCTTAAATTTTCTGGATTATGATCCATAATGGATCCATAAAAAATAATCAATCGCTTGATGAGTAAGCTGCATTCCAAAAGAAGATGTTGTAACTTGTTAAAGAGTTAGTAGAGAGGCCGGAATCAGATTATGCATTGAAGATTGAGATTGAAGATTAAAGATTGAAATTTCACCAATGAGGAGAAAGAATTCTGGCTCTTTTTGTTCTGATTGGTCAAATTTTCAATTTTCAATCTCACTTTTCAATGCATAGTCTGATTCCGGCCTTACAGGGAGAGAGGCAAATTGCACCAGGCTCAAATTCACAACAGGAAAAAGGTCACGTGATTAGTTTTCTCCAATCTCTTCCATGCCTATGGAGCTTTGATGCCTATATCCAATCAGAAAAGACAGGTGACGTCTTGCAATTTGCCTCTTTCTCTCTGTGAGGCTTTTTATCTTTTAAGTCCTGATATACAATTTTACTTTAATTATTTTTTAAAGTATGCATAATTTAGATATTATTTATAATTTATGTATATATATATATATATATGTATATATATATATATAATATATAATATGTTATTTTAAATAAGCCTAATTTTTTAGACTACCGAGAAAGTCCGACAACCATATCGGCATGCAATTATTATTTCTGAAATTAATTCATTTATATGAATGTATAATAGTTCAACATCTTAACATTCAAACTATAGTAGCGCTTCGAATTTAAAGTAATGTATTTAATATAAACGGTCTTGTTTCCAATCTTATTGTATAATATATGTATATTTAGATATGTATAATGCAGTCTAGCGTAGGAATTGAAAACAGACTTGGTCTGTTCGTTTTGCTCGCATTCTTCGCATTCTCTTTTTTCAACGCCCAAATATACATCTATCTTATTTTAAATTCGACAATTTTTAGGGATTTCAAACAACGCGAATAGACCAGTTGTTATTGTAATTTAAGTGAACAAATTTATGAAAATATTTATAAATTTATTGATCAACATCTAGTGAATTTGTTCATTTTTATAATTTTCATCTCTTTTCAAATCGCTTGTTCAAATTCAAATCGTATGACAGTGCGGTCACTTCCGATCAGTCGGGTACTACGCTCGACGTTTCTTGTACTTTCGCCTCGTCTTAAATGCAAGGCCGGAAGTGACGTCACAATGTTATATCCATACACACCACTACAGCAAGCACGGCGTCCGCGATCCAATATGTCCGCAGTCTCACGATAGAACGCGTTACTTTTCGGTATATTGCCGCAGGAGAAAGTCAGAGGAGATAATTCCGGCGCGAACGGCTCAAGGCCGTTCCGTCCGTACGAGAATCGTGGGATCGGTGTCGCATGCCCGCGATTCGTCGGCGTGCGACACGATTACAGAAGGAATCAGGAGCAACACCGAGAGTAAGAGAACGAGAGGGACGAAGTGAGAAAGAGAAAAAGAGAGAGAGAGAGAGAGTGAGTAAGAACGAAGCGGGACGGAAATCGAGAAGCGTCAACTCTGGTCAATTCGCATCAATGCGGTCCTAGACACGTTCTCGCGAGCTCGTTTCCACGGCAATCGAGAATTACTGGGTGCGACCGCGACGCGGGATCAGCAACGGCTTTCGTGAACCATCGTCGACGACGCCGAGAGCGCGCGCGGAATCGTGGGATCGTCCACCGCGACGCCGTCATCCACCTGCAGCTCATCAGGGTAACCGAGTCGACGACGTTTCCCAGATGTCGATCATCGTTGTGTGGGACGATTTGGTCACGATTTGAGATTCCGGAGCGGGCGCACCGCGCAGCATCGAGTAATCCTCATTTAGATTATTCTGTTTAGGGTATCGCACGGGAATAGCTCGCAAATGCAAAATAAATTTGTATATTGCTTCCATTATTACAATGAGGAACCGAGCGATATTTTCGATGGAATTGAGATGGAAACTGAATGATTTGTTTATTAGTTTGTTGAAAATGGCTAGTACAGTGAATATTAATTGACATGAATTCTTGGTTACAGATCTATGAGAAGAATTCAGGGGGTATGAATTGTAGTGATAGTCAAGATGTCAAGCGACAGCGATAATACTTGTTTGATACGTCATCATAATCACAAACGTAAAAAAATTGTCATTAGCGACAGTGATAGCAGTGATGAATCTGTTATTGTACAAATTCGAAGAAAGAAGAAACTTGTACGTTTGGAAGTGTTTTAATTATTATAGTATCTTTAAATATTGATTAAATTAAATGTTCAATTCTAACTGTATAATATTTATGGAATCTATTAAATCTCATTTGCAGCCTATTCAATTTTATTTATTGTCTTATTTCTAAACGAACATATTGTTAATTTACATTAATTTGCATTTATATTATTGTTTTAGAGAGTCGTAAGCGAAGGAGAAAGCAGCAGCGATAGTGATGTACCTAAGCCTGTGATTAAACGACAAAACCATGTATTATGACTTATATTTTTTTAAAGAAATGTTTAGCCAAATTTATTGATGATATCTTCATTAATATCATTTGTTGCAGAGAGTCATTAGTGATGAATCTAATAGTAGCGAGGAAAGCAGATCCACGCATATTACAGACAGTAGTACATCCGAATGGGAAAGTGATTGGACTAGTTCAGATGAATCAAGTGGCAATACTTATAAATGTACTGCTAAACGTAAAGTTTTATGTAAAAGTAAAAATGAGAATGCCAATAAACCTGGTTCCTCTTCATTAACTAATGTCAACGCTAACTCTGATAGCAGTGATGATCAGTCGGAAAAATGTCCTATATGTCTGCTACCATTTAGAAAACAGCAAATTGGTATTCCATCTGAATGCGAC